AATTTCACGTATATTCAACATACCCCTGTTTTTCAAAAAATACACTACCTTAGGAAAATTAACATTTTAAAACTGTCATCTTCCTGCAGCTCAGAGGAAAAAATGCAACAACAGAAACATTATATTCCACTGTCAATTTTCTGGTAACTTTCCTTAAAACTCAGAAAAACAGTTACATCGGGATAGTAGACTGTCAAACATCTAATAACTCACAACTATATGCACAAGTATAACGTTTGGTCCAATAATGTCCATCAGTCAAAAAAGAATGTTATTCATGTTAACAGAACAAACTAAGAGTGAAAAGTACTGTAAAGAGGGATATTATACAGACTAAGAAACATAGTGTAATCTTTGCTGCCAAAAACTGGATCCAGAAAATCAAATCCACGCTATTTCAACACAAAAAAGGTGGAAAGTAAAACATGTATTTCTTCAGAACATGTACAAAGTAGCAACATAGTTGTTAATGAGAATTTCATTCATGGGAAAAAATGTACCCATATTACAAAGGTTTTCCTTGATGCTGTTGTAGCAGGCTAGTATTGAAATTAAGTAAAAGAAAATATTTAATTAATCTTTTCTTTAGTTCAAATATCAGCTTTCACATTAGCAAACATAGGAAAAAGTGGGTACTGAGCGTGGCACTGCTGTAATTGATTTCAGTTTATTGCTACTAGCTACACTTCTCACATATGCTAATGCCAATTTGGCAGCTGATAACCTGGTTTAAATTGTGCTGCTGAAGAAGTACTATTACTACTATAGGCAACAAATCTACCCTTAGCAGTCTGCAAGGTGCAGTTGATGTGGGTGTTCATTCATCTGGTTTTGGCGAAATCCAGCCAATAAACCAAGTTTGCTGTTTCATATCCATTTATTATCTGAGTATGTACCCAAATTAAGAGATGCTGCTTCTCCCACAATGATTTGCTCTTGTGTTTCAGTTAAGTCATTATTTTCCCATTGCCCCATCAACTGTGGGGTGATTCTATAAATGGATCCCTGGGATTATCTTGATTAAAACTAACAAACAAACAAACAAGCAACCTCTTACATTGAGCTGGGAGTGCACAAAATTCTTCTGCAGCATTTTGCTGTTGTGAAGTACTCGGGTCACCTACATTCACTTTTAACTACTTATGACAGTAGAGGTCCTAGCAGCTCCTATGAGCAGGTATGAGGTTGTACAGTGACACCTGCCTTGTTATTTTTCAGTTAGTGACTGTGCTTTTGATCCACCACATAAAAGTATTATTTTAATGAAAAAAGAAAACATTTATTCAAAAAGTAGTAAAGCAAACAAAAAAAAAAGTCCTTACCTCTTGATTGTGTTGAATAGTTAAGTCTAAATTTTCAGTTTTAGCTTGAAGAAGTTTCCGTCTCAGATCTAAAACAGCATCCAATTCTGATTCATTGCTATTCTGGAGTAATTCACGCTCCACATTATGTAAGCTGCAAAATAAGATTTTTTTCAAAAAAAAATGAGTATTGCTTTTAAGTTTAAAAGTTCAATTATTTCAGTTATTTGATTTTGAGTCCAAAGTTCTAAACATTCACCTAAGTAAACTTATGTCATGCAGTTGGAATCATACTGTTGCTTTTCTGAAAAAGGGATATACATATTGCTTATTGTGCAAGATAAGAGAGAATGATATGAGGAATATATATTGCTTATTGTGCAAGATATGAGAGATATAGCAGCAGGAGCTTAAAACAGATATGCCCTTTGTATTTCCCAAAGTTGATTTCAGTATTTTTTAATTATTTTTCATTATTTTTGTTATTGATTAAATAACTTCCAGAATGCTTAAAACACACCAATCACATACATTAAAATGACTAGCAAGGTTTTGTTTGTCTCTGCAGTAAGGCTCATTTTTTAACATGGTTTACCGTCTCAAAAACATCTCTGTCATGAAACAAATGCAAACATGTGGAGCAAACCCCACTCTTCCAGATTTTTTTTTCAAAGGTATCTACGTTTAAACTACAGAGAAGCAACTGATCACAATCAAGGTACAAATTAAAGGTCTAGTCCTCTTAAACAATCTCTGTCTTTATTTCCACTGCTATTTCAGTTAAAAAAAAAAAAATCTATTTGACAGGTAAGTGGATCCATGTTTGAGCACCACAAGCTGCACCTGGGCCAGGACAACTCCCAGTATCAATACAGGCTGAGGGATGAACATATTGAGAGCAGTCCTGCCACAAAGGACTGATGGATGAGAGGCTAGACACAAGCCAGCAATGTGCACTTCCAGCCCAGAAAGCCAAATGTATCCTGGGCTGCATCCAAAGTAGCGAGGCAAGCAGGTCAAGGGAGGGGATTCTATTCCTCTACTCTATTCAGTGAGACCCCACCTGAAGCACTGCATCCAGTTCTGCATTCCCCAACAAAAGAAGCACATGGGCCTGTTGGAGCAAGTCCAGAGGAGGTCACCAAGATGATTAGAGGAATGGAGCACCCCTGCTATGAGGAAAGGTTGGAAGAATTGGGATTGCTCAGTTTAGAAAAGAGAAGGCTTCAGGATGACCTACTTGCAGCCTTCCAGTATCTGAAGGGAGCCTATGAGAAAGATGGAAAGAGAAAGACTTTTTACAAGAGTACGTAGTGACAGGATGAGGAGGAATTGCTTCAAACTGAAAGACAGTAATTTCAAACTAGATATTATAAAAAATTCTTTACTGTGAGGGTGGTGAGGCACTGAACAGATTGCCCAGAGAAGCTGTGGATGTCCTATCCCTGGCAGTGTTCAAGGTCAGGTTGGATGGGGCTCTGAGCAACCTGGTCTGATGGAAGGTGTCCCTGTCCACAGGAGGGGGATTGGAACTAGATTATCTTTGAGGTCCATTCCAACCCAGGCTATCCTATGATTCTGTGATTTAATGACTGTATCGACACAGCATAGCTTGCATGTACCACACCATCTTCTTCAGTCTGAATTACATACTTTCAGGGATCTAAAAAATAAACCACAAAAACAGTGACTGTACTACTAGACTTAAAAATACAGAAGTGGTGCTTACTTTTTAGTTTCTGTGACAGAGCAGTTGACTGGAGAGGATGTACTCATGATGTACAGTAGGCAGCTTTTAAGTCGATAAACTCTGGAAAATGAAGTCTTGACAAGCTTGATAAGCTTCAAAGATTATTTTTCGATATTATAAAAGCATTAAAATCTGTAACAGAGACATGCTTTAGTTCATTTGGCAACATAATAAAAGAATCTTTGGTTAACACTCATGATCAGTTATGAAAGTGTTACTACATCATGTGAATAATTACCACTAACTGTAATTTTACATCAGTTTGAGTCAACAATGAGAACTGTACTTCTAAGTTTAAATATTGGCAGATTAATATATATACAGTATAATAGTAGAATATCCACTGCCAAGGTTTTCAGAATGTCACTAAAAATATGTTTGCATACATTGATCCTCTAACTTCTCTGTTCTCCTAAGAAGATTACTAACTACATTTCTCTTCAAAATAAATCTATGGGAGATAAATGCATACATCATGATTGCATGCTGTCGAATATCAGCTTTTAATACAGCAAGTCTTCCAAATGTTTCACAAAAAATCTTCGACTTGGACATATTTTTATTGTATATATATATCAGCAATATTTAGGAGTATAGAGGAGAAATACTGAATTGAACTACAACTCCATTCTAACCCCATTAAAAAAACCTCACTAATTTAGTGTTACTAATAAAAAAGCAATCAATACAAATAACATATTTTTAACACAGACCTTAAAAAAATCCATTATTTATTTCAAATTGAACAGCAAACCATAAATGAGCTCTTTCCATTAATTAAAGCAAGGTAACATGAAGAATAAGCTGTATTCAACACTTGAGATTAACAAGCCATTAAGGTTTGCTTTCGGATGCTGCAGCACATGGACATCCATCATATTACAGTCCAAACAAGAAACTAGCCTGTAGTCCATGTCTGGCTGAGTTGGAAGGGACCCACAAGGATCATCGAGTCCTACTCCTGGCCCTGCACTGGGCCAACCCCAAGAGTCACACCATGTGCCTGAGAGTATCATCCAAATGCTTCTTGAACTCTGTCAAGCTTGGTGCTGTGACCACTTCCCTGGGGAGCCTGTTCCAGTGCCCAACTACCTTGTGAGTGAAAAACCTTTTCCTTATATCCAGCCTAAACTTACCCTGACTCAGCTTCATGCTGTTTCCCCAAGTCCTGTCACTGGTTGGAAGAATGAAGAGATCTGTACCTGTCCCTCCTCTTCCCCTCACAAGGAAGCTGTAGACTGCAATAAGATCTCCCCTCAGTCTCCCCAAGGCTGAACAGAACAAGTGACCTCAGCCACTCCTCATCCAGTTTCCCCTTAAGGCCCCTCACCATCCTTGTGCCCCTCCTTTGGATACTCTCTAAGAGCTTAATGTCTTTTTTATACTGCCCAACAGCAGCACTTGTTATAATATACTAACTAAAAACTGATTTTATCCATTCCAGTTGCTAATAACCTGCACTAGAAATATGAAGAGGAAGAAGTGCACTTCTGCTTCAATCTATAATTTGAACAGAAAATGACGCAAAACCAGACTTATTATTTCTAAAAACTCTGAGTTTATGGGTTTGGATTTTGTTTTGCTCTGTTCTTACAGAAAAGCAGTATATTTATAAAGAATAGGTAAATGTATCATTTGTGATTTTTAACATCTGCCCATTGGAATTCACCTTGGTACATGTGTTCATAAAACCCCAAACACATAATTACCACATAACAGTCATTCACACTCCTAGAGAAAATGGTACGGCTTTCTTTTCACCTCAACTGAGAAAACAGTTGGTCTTCATTTTTAAAGTATAGAATGTGGTATAATTGTCTAAATACATTTTAAGGCCCATTAAATTACTGGTGACGTGAACACTAAAAACTTTATATAAGAGAAGAAGGTCTTGCCAGAGTATTTCAAGTACTCTACTCAACCAAAATCAATTGCTTGGATATAAAAAAATGTGGTATCATGGTATAGGAAACTATACCTCTATCACATGTGTCAAATTTTCACATTAAGATGTAGCTCTGAACACCACTAAACTAGTTTTTCAAACAATAATTTTTTAAGCTTTATTGAAACTTATAGCAAAATCTGATAATGAATAGTAGAAAAATTTTTTAAAAAATGGTACAACTAAAATTTTCTTAGAAATCTGTTTTTTCACCTCCAAAATAGAATTCACTGTCTCTATCCAACAAACAGTAGCTGCAGAGAAAAAAAAAATCTGTCTCAAAACATAATCCAAATGTCCTCTTTCAACCCACATTATTTTGAATTATACGATTTATAATAATAATAATTTGTAATTTCTGAAATTACTCTGGAGTCACATGGGGGTAGGAGAAAATATCTAACTACAGTTTTCTGGGAATGCTAATGATTTTGAAAATCATTCCTCTGTTAAGATACTATCCATAGTTTATCAGCACTCCATATACTCTAAAAGCATGCTAATTCAATTACCAAAAAACAAAAAACAATATCCAAATGGCATGGAGTGGCTCATAAGAGTTAAACAAAACAGTATACAAAGTTTTTCCTTGAGGAGATAATACGTTCGAGGGGTGTTACCTACAAAACTTGAAAACTTGTGTCATACTCTCCTCACAAACCGCTGAATACACTTAACTAACTTTATCAAGGTCACTGATTTAGAGTGGATATGAGGAGGAAGTGCTTTACTGTGAGGGTGGCGAGGCACTGGAACAGGTTGCCCAGAGGACTTGTGGATGCCCCATCTCTGCACGGGTTCGAGACCAGGCTGGATGGAGCTCTGAGCAAGGTGGTCTAGTCCCTGCCCACCAGCGAGGGGTGTGGCACTGGATAATCTCTAAAGTCGCTTCCAAACCAATGCGTGACTGAGATCACTCTAAATCTAACGAGATTTATTTAATTTAAAACACTCAGAGCAGGGCCTAACTACCGCATCTGAGCTGCAACGCACGAAAACTTAACAGCATTTACTTCGGCTGAGCGAACCACTAGCTCTTCCTTAACGCAGACCAAAAATATTTTTTAAGCGAGCTAAAAACCAGAGCGGCAGCATCCCTTCGCCCCGCTGGCCCTCCTCCCAGCGGCGCTGGCCGAAGCGGTGCCGGGGCAGAGCGACGTGCTGGCGGCTCCGGAGCTTTACCTGGCACGAAGGGCTGCGGGAACAGAGGCAGGGCAGAGCTCCGTGCGGTCTCCCGGTCCCGCCAGGAAGGACGCGGCGCCTTCCCAACGGCAACTTCCGTCCGCGGCGGAACATCGTCGGGGCCGTGCCTGCCGCCAGCCCCGGGGCGGCGGGGATGGGCGCTGCTGCCGGGAGCTGCCGCCCTGCCGGCGGGTTTACAGCTGGGAAAGCAACCAGGGGCATGTCTCAGGGGTTCTGATCCACGTTTATTGGATCTGTCCTCCAATTCGGGACAGCGCATTCTTCACCCGAATTATCAAGAGAAACAAGCAGGTAAATTATTTGGAAAGGCCATGGGACAAAAACCGCAGCAGCGTGGATGAGGGTTGTCACTCCCCTTCTTACCTTGAGTCACAAAAATCATTTTAGACACGATAGTATTAATGCACGCATGTAGCTAAACAAACACCTTTCCTTACTTTCACACGGAAAAATACACCTGGTGTAGAGAACCACAGAATTATTTAGGTTGGAAAAGACCTCTGAGATCATCAAGTCCAACCATTAGCACAGCACTAACAAGTCCACCACTAAACCATGACCCCGAGTGTCACATCTGTGCAACGTTTAAATACTTCCAGGGATGGGGACTCAACCACTTCCCTGGGCACCCAGTTCCAGAGTCGGTAACTCTTTCAGTTAAGAATTTTTTCCTCCTCTCTGACCCAAATCTCGCTGGAGCAACTTGAAGTCATTTTTTTTACCTGTGAGAAGAGACCAACCCCAATAACCCCCTCGCTAAAACCTCCTGTCAAGTAGTCAGAGAGAGCAATAAGGTCTCCCCCTCAGCTCCGTTTTTTGATAGAAACGTATCAGAATGATATGACAGGGAATTCAACATTAACTTATTTTTCTGAAAGAGCTGTTGATGTGTTCAGAAAGAGTGCTTGATGTTCAGGGAAAAAAAAAAAAAAAGGGGAGGAGAACATGCTGCTTAAGTGTGGGTCTGGCCTTGGTAGAGAAAGAAGCAACTGCTTCACTTGCAGACATGACAGCAGCATGCTTCTTTGCAATGTGACCTTATCCACACCTACAGGAAATCAGTTGGAATGACTGTTTCAAACCGAGAAGCTCTAGAGACACAACTCCTCACAGGGAGAACAGTTTTTCACCTCTGAAGCTCATTCCTGGCTCGTAACAACTTAATGTGTATCAGTGTACTGACTTCTTACTCAAGCACCAGGTGGCAGGTCTGGCTGAAGCCTTACATATTCTGTCATTCAAAATAAAACCATTTGCTAAAAAATGCTGATGCAGTCCTTGAAGTTTGTATGAGCATCAATATGACATCTTACTCTCTTGCGTGTACAAGGTCTGGATTACAAAATACAATTTTCTTCTGTGTTTCTGTGCTTCAGTATTTTGTCTTCAGTCTTACATCTACTTAACAAGTACAAATGCCCCCAATTATACACAAGACATAGCTTGTTCAAACATTTTTTTTTCAGTCTTTAAAAATCAAATTATATTTTGGTTTCTTTACCTTTAAAAATTCTTTAGTCACATTTAAGTCTCTTTTGAAGAACATCCTACCCTACTTTTTCATGTCATCAATTCATCTTGAGTTGCTTCCTTAATTAAGAAAAAAAATATTTTCAGCTGCTCTTCACTGATTTTAATACAAGGTGCAAAGCTTCTTATTCCTGAAAAATGTCAGACTCAAAGCAATGTTCCAAAGGCTGAGGGAATTATAATATCCTCAAGAAATTCCAAAAGCATTGTTTCAAAACTAAATTGTAAACTTATTTAATCTGATACTGAAGAGAAATCTAACAATATGATTAAACAGAGTAGTGACTTAGCTTAGGGAATTCCTGCAGATTGTCAGTTCTTGCGTAGCAAAATATTAATATACACAGTTTTTGCAGTACTCAACACTTTCTCATTCAGGAAAAATGTAAAATTTTATGTATTGCTGAAATAAGAATGATTCAGTACAGCAAAGTAAAGACCTACATACCTGCAAATGTGCCACTGTCAAACTTTTATCTTCTTCTAAACAATTCTAGATGTACAGTCCACCTTAATCTCAGTCAGTTTTTAACTAATTTTTGTCCCAAGCGGTCATTCTTTTGTGCACAGGAAGAAAGGTTTTCATCTGTCTAATATATATGGGCTGCCCAGGGAGGTGGTGGATTCTCCATCCCTGGAGGTATTTAAAAAGAGACTGGATATGGCACTTAGTGCCATAGTCTAGTAACTGTGGTGGTAGTGGATCAAGGGTTGGACTTGATGATCTTAGAGGTCCTTTCCAAGCCATCTGATTCTATGATTTTATGATCCTATATTAATGATTTTCTGGTTTTTTGTGAGATCTTGTCTAACTCTCTAGGAAACTGATGTCAGGAACATGAGCTTTGCCGCCTCCAAGAAAATCAGCCAAATTTAACTTGTTTAAACCATCAGAAAATTGCAGTTTGTTTCTGTTTAACACAGATGGTGTGAAGTCTTGCAGTTAACATTTGTAAGTGAACATTTTGCATTTAAGGAGAAGAGAGCCTAGAACAAAGCACAACTTGCTCTGTGGCAACTGCAGGGGGTGTTTTGAGCCTGACTTGAGTTTCAGTATCAAAGCTGAAAGTGGTAAGATGATTCTTCTCGAAAGCTCTTTCTTATCTTTGTGTCTAAGTAGCACAGAGAGCAGCTGGCAGAAAACTGGCCTGTGAAAAGTTGTCCATCAGGCCACATACCAAGGATGAGAACTCAAGTACAAAATGTTCTGCCGCTGTGAAACAGTATAAGTTTGTGCTACAACTCTTACAGCTTTCAACAGGTTTTGGCACCCAGTGTATGGCACAAACATACAGTAAAATGACTTGCAGGGGGTGCTGTGTGGGACCACCACAGAGAGTTAAAGCCATAGAGAAAGGCTGGCTAATTTTTTATGCAGAAAAACTAGAACTAGACACAACAGGACAGGTAGGCTGTGTGAAAGAAGCGATTGAGTCTAAATCTGGGTCTGAGGTCTTCTGTTTGAAGAAAGGTATTTGTGGAGCAAAGCATGAGAGGTTGGAGGTGGCTGATGTACTCAACAAGGAACCATCTGACAGAAATGGGAGAGGAGGGTGCAGTGGCTGAAATGCTAGGTGAGAAGGGAGCTTAATATGGATGGGTAAGCTAGCCAGGAGAGAGTAGGTATGGAGAGGACAAGAGGAGTAACAAAAAGTCTGAAGTTATAGCAATCCTAGTTAAACAAAATCAAACCAAAACATAAAACTCAACATTGAACTCAATCTAGCCACACCTGTTAGGGATAACAGGAAGCACTTCTACAAATACATCAATAGCAAAAGGAGGGGTGAGGAAAACCTCCATTCTTTGTTGGACATGGAGGGGCGAACATAGCCACCAAAGATGAGGAAAAGGCTGAGGTATTTAACACCTTCTTTGCCTCAGTTTTCAACAGTAAGACAGGTTGTCATCAGGACAACTGGCTTCCGGAGCTGAGAGACAGGAAGCCGACTTCCCCTTGTAATCCAGGAGGAAACAGTGACCTCTTGAGCCACTTGGATCCTCACAAGTCCATGGGACCAGATGGGATCCACCCAGAGGTGATGAGGGAGCTGGCAGAAGAGCTCAGCAAGCCACTCTCCATCATTTACCAACAGTCCTGGCTCACTGGGGAGGTTCCAGATGACTGGAAGTTGGCGAATGTCACGCCAATCCACAAAAAGGTCTGCAAGGAGGACCTGGCAGACTACAGGTCTGTCAGCCTGACCTCAGTGCCTGGCAAGGTTATGGAGCAGATCATCCTGAGTGCATTCACACAGCATCTATGGGATGAACAAGGATCAGAGCCAGCCAGCACAGGTTTAAGAGGGGCAGGTCCTGTCTGACCAACTTGACCTCCTTTTATGATCAGGTGACCCACCTGGTGGATGAGGGGAAGGCTGTGGATGTGTCTGTCTGGACTTCAGCAAAGCCTTTGACACTGTCTCCCATAGCATTCTCCTGGAAAAGCTGCAGCCCACGGCTTGGACAGGGGCACTCTCTGCTGGGTTAGGAACTGGTTGGAGGGCCGGGCCCAGAGAGTGCTGGTGAACGGGGCTGCATCCAGTTGGCGGCCGGTCACCAGTGGTGTCCCCTAGGGATCAGTGTTGGGCCCAGTTCTGTTTAATCTTTATTGATGATCTGTGTGGAAGACACTAAACAGAGACAGAAACTGTTCCGAAAATGGAGACAGATCTATAAAGAATATAACGACGATGAGGTTTAATAATATGGACTAACACACTGGAATGGACGCTTATGAACGGACTTTCGAATTCAACTGACGTGGACAATGCTGTTTTACCCCAATTAGAAATGTTAATGCATGTTGAAATTATTGTACCCCAGTTATAGACTTATATTTTATTCCCTTATAAGTTTTCCCTCATGAACCCTTTCTCCTGATTGGCTGTTGAATCCCCAGTTATGATTGGTGGGATTTTGCCGCAATAAGGCGGTCTCACCACACCCCTAAAGTTGACCTATAGGTTGGAAGTTAATGTATTCCCTTTATTGTTTCCCTATTGGTTCTCCCCGTATGTCAATCCCATACTCCTCCCAGTTTCTAGACCCTTCCTTCCCTAACCCTATATAAGTCCTGTTCGCCCTTTGTTCTGGGCAGCACCTTCGCGGCTCAGCGCCAGGAAGTGCCCTCACGCCTCCTGTACCATCAATAAATCTGCTGCAGACTGCGAACCCCCTAAGTGCTGTCAGTCCTTTCCCACTCGGGCTGTGGCATATGGCGCCCAACGTGGGGCTCTGTAGCAGGTTCCTCACATTGAGGAAACTCCAGAGTGCCC